AGGGACGCCAGCGTGCTGCCCCTCACTCCTCCCAGTTTCCTCCGACAGAGGCTCCGTTGCAGACGCTTCACATGGACGTGTGGGGCCCTGCCCGGGTCTGTGGACTCGGTCACGAGCGCTACTTCCTGTTGGTGGTTGACGACTACTCGCGTTACACCGCGGTCTTCCCCTTGCGCAGCAAGGGTGATGTCACTGAGGTGCTGATCGACTGGATCCGCGCAGCTCCTCTCCAGCTCAGGTAGAGCTTTGGCTCGGACTTTCCTGTGTTGCGTCTGCACTCGGACAGAGGCGGAGAGTTCTCCTCTCGCCTTCTGCGTGCCTACTGTCGTGCGCGAGGCATCCGTCAGACCTTCACGCTTTCGGACTCACCGCAACAAAATGGGATTGCAGAGCGCCGCATTGGCATGGTCATGGACGTCGCTCGTACGTCTATGATGCATGCGGCTGCCCCCCATTTTCTGTGGCCGTTTGCGGTCAGGTACGCGGCGCATCAGATCAACCTCCACCCCAGGGTCTCCAGGCCGGAGACCTCCCCAGCCCTGCTGTGGATGGGGAAGGTAGGCGATGCGTCGGCGTTCCGGGTCTGGGGATCTCGGGCGTTTGTCCGCGACTTGTCTGCGGACAAGCTGTCCCCTCGCGCTGCTCCCTGCGTCTTCCTGGGGTTCCCCCCCGACGCCCCTGGGTGGCAGTTCTACCACCCCACCTCTCGCCGTGTTCTGTCCTCCCAGGACGTCATGTTCGACGAGTCCGTCCCCTTCTACCGCCTCTTCCCCTACCGCACTCCTTCCCTCCCGCCGCCACCGCACTTCCTTGTGCAAGGTCCCCCCCCGGTAGACCCCCTTCCCCCTCAGGGTCCTGCCCCTTCAGGTGTGTCCCAGGTAGATGCAGTCGAGCCGGTCGAGGTTGCTGGTGACTCAGGTACTGCTGGGGGTGCTGAGCCTGGGGGTGCTGACTCTGGGAGTGCTGAGTCTGGGGGTGCTGAGCCTGGGGGTGCTGAGCCTGGGGGTGCTGCCTCTGGGGGTGCTGAGCCTGGGGGTGCTAACTCTGAGGGTGCTGCGCGCGTGGGTGCTGAGCCTGGGGGTGCTGAGCCTGGGGGTGCTGCGTCTGGAGCTGCTGAGCCTGGAGGTGTGGAGCCTGCGGCCACTGGACCTCCCCTTGTGACGTCTGGCGGTACTGGGCCTGGAGGTTCTCCGGGTGTTTCGTCTCGGCGGGAGCCACTCTCTCCACAGGAGCTGCTTGAGTGGTTTGCTCGCCGCTGGAGGCGTACTGCTGGAGCTGGCGCTTCTTCGGCCGCTGAGGGTGCTGGTGCCGCTGGTCCCGCAGCTGCTGGGCCTGCGGGTCCGCCTGGAGCTGGAGCTGCTGAGGGTGTTGGTTCTGAGACTACTACTGTCCGTCCTGGTGGTGGTCGTGCTGCGGGTGCTGCTGGCGCTGCTGGAGGTCCTGCCGCTGGAGGTGCTGTTGGCGCTGGTGCTGCCGGAGGTGCTGAGGGTGCTGGTGCTGTCCCTGCTGTGTCTCGTGCCGCCGCGCGGCCTCGGCCGTACTTCGTTCCGCTCCTTCAGCAGGTTCTTGGTCTTCCTCCTCTCTTAGAGGGTCCACCGCCTGTCCAGTCGCAGTCACAGTTACCGCCGGCCTCCCCACTGCCTTCTCCCTCTCCCTACACTAGTCCTACTGGAGGTCTTGCTGAGCGTCGTGAGCCTGCGTCTCGTCCTGCGTCGCCTGTTCGTGCTGCTCGCACTAGTGGTCGTAGTTCGCGTCAGCGTCCTCCTCCTGTCCCTGGCACGCACCGGATGTCTCAGCGTCCGTCCACTGCTCCTCTGCGTGCCCCTTTTCCCTCTCCTCATGAGTCCTCTCTTCCTGTGCTTGCCGACCCTGAGTCGGACTCTCTTCGTGCCGCCAGTCCTACTGTCACGCGTCTCCTTGCTACTGTCGTCACTGACCCCTCCTTTGAGTCCACTGCTGCGTCTGCTCTTGTTGCTGAGCTCGTCGACTTTGCTGCTCGCTGTCGTCTAGACTACGCTGCTAGTCTTGTTACTGAGTCTGCGTCTGTCTGTCCTCCGTCCGTCGGGGGTGAGTGTGCTCTTGGCACGGACGTCCTTGAGGACAGGTTGGAGGAGTTTCAGTGTCTGGCTGCTGCTTCACCTCATCTCGCGTCTGTACTGCTTGCCCCTGAGGGAGACCCGGATGCACTAGACATCCCCACTCCGCGCTCTTACGCGGAGGCCGTAGAGGGTCCCTACTCCTCTCAGTGGCAGGCAGCTATGGATGCAGAGATGGCTTCCTGGAAGTCCACAGGCCCCTACGTTGACGCGGTTCCCCCTCCTGGGGCGAACATCATCAGTGGGATGTGGATCTTCAGGGTGAAGCGGCCGCCGGGCTCTCCGCCTGTCTTCAAGGCGCGGTACGTGGCTCGTGGCTTCAGTCAGCGGCAGGGAGTTGACTACTTTCAGACCTTCTCTCCCACCCCGAAGATGACCACTCTTCGGGTGCTGCTGCACATAGCCGCTCAGCGCGACTACGAGCTCCACTCTCTTGACTTCAGCACTGCTTTCTTGCAGGGTAGCCTGCACGAGGAGATCTGGCTGCGCCGTCCACCTGGCTTCACTGGGACTTTCCCTCCTGGCACCCAGTGGAGCCTCCGACGGCCAGTCTACGGTCTCCGCCAGGCACCGCGTGAGTGGCACGACACACTGAGGACTACGCTTGCGGCTCTTGGGTTTGCTCCCTCTACTGCTGACCCGCCGTTGTTTCTGCGCACCGACACTTCTCTGCCGCCGTTCTACATCCTCGTGTACGTCGACGACTTGGTCTTTGCCACAGCTGACACTGCTGGACTCGCCCACGTGAAGTCCGAGTTGCAGAAGAGACACACGTGCACAGACCTGGGTGAACTGCGCAGCTACCTTGGCTTGCAGATCACTCGGGACAGAGCACGCCGCACCATTACCTTGATTCAGTCACACATGGTGCAGCAGGTTCTTCAGCGCTTCGGCTTCACGTACTCCTCGCCTCAGGCCACTCCTCTGTCTACTCGCCACTCGCTCTCAGCTCTGCCTTCGGATAAGTCCGTAGAGCCGAGTGGCCCGTACACAGAGCTTGTTGGCTGCCTCATGTACCTGATGACCTGCACACGACCTGACCTTGCATACCCTCTTAGCATCTTGGCACGCTATGTTGCTCCTGGGAGACACCGACCAGAGCACATGGCTGCAGCGAAGAGGGTGTTGCGCTACTTGTGCAGTACGTCGGGCATGGGGCTAGTGCTTGGAGGGCGGAGTCCAGTGGTCCTCACTGGGCACGCGGACGCTTCTTGGGCTGACGACCAGGCTACGCAGCGGTCGTCGCAGGGTTACACCTTCAGTCTTGGTTCCGGCTCTGTTTCGTGGCGGGCTACTCGCTCGTCTTCTGTTCTCGGCTCTAGTTGTGAGGTTGAGATCTACGCCAGGGCCATGGCTGCTCAGGAGCTTCGCTGGCTCACCTACCTGCTGACTGACCTTGGAGAGCCACCTCGTTCTCCTCCAGTGCTGTACGTAGACAACAAGGCCATGCTGGCCTTGTGTCGAGAGCAGCGCCTGGAGCACAAAACGAAGCACATTGCTCTCCGCTACTTTCTTGCTTGTGAGCTGCAGCAGCGTGGTCAGTTGCGACTTGCGTACGTGGCCTCTGAGGCCAACACTGCTGATGTTTTCACCAAGGCACTTCCGCCTTGTGATCATCAGCGTTTCTGTACTCAGCTGGGACTTGTCCCAGTCTTGCCTCACTTGCTCACCTCTTGACCTTACTTGTACTCTTGCATATATATATACATGCTCTTGCTTGTTTAGACTTATATATATATGTCTCCTCCTGCATGTGAACTGGCCTTGTGGCCTTGACCTTGTGCTCAGACTGTGTGGTGACGTTGTGATCCACCCTGAGCTTTGCTTTGCTTTGCTTGACTGGTCTTGTGACCCCTTGTTCTCCCCCACTTTGCCTATGGGGGTGTGTTAGAACATTATAGCTTATGCTTTTGTGTAGGCTATAGTGGGGTATCCCATAGGGGGTACAACCCAATTAGGGTTAGTACTTGTACCCACTTCACTCATAGTTCATTCATTCTCGTTCTATTCTTCTCATTTGTTTCGTCGCGTCAAACAGTTTTCAGTACTTTAAACTGAGAAGTCCAGACAGTGGTTTTAGCTTTGTCGATTGAGATTCGGATAGGTGATCGAAAGGTAGAAAGTCAAACTTTACAGTTGAAATTTTAGAACACATTTCAAATAGCGCGAAGTACGCTCACTTTCATTTTAACTAAAAAAAATATGATTGTAGTTAAGCAAAATGCTTCGCAACCCTAACACAATTTCGTCGCCTCTTGTTTTTTTTTTGCCGTGCGTTTTCCAACTTTCCAAATTTGTGACACGTGGGTGAATGTGGGACCGAGTTCTGTGTTGTTGCCATAACTTTCCTGTCGGAGTGGCGGAGGGGCGGAAAGTGCCCGCAACTAGCACTGTAGTCCCCTTGAAAGTGCAGGGTCGCTAGTGGTACCCCTGCGAAAGCTACTAACCCAAAAAATGTCAGTGCAAAAAACAGTTCCTTCGATCTGCGCTCCTAGCGTTAAGTGACAGTAACAATTCGCGTTCAACTGAAAACCCTTCGAAAATGCTTGGTGATTCTGACTTAGAAAACTGTTGACTGAGGACGCGCAACTGATTCCATTTCTGTACAGTACACGTAGATTGGGGGAGTGGTTCATTCACTGCTGGCTCGTCTGGGTTTCTGTATAAACGTAGGTGTAGTGTAGACTTGGAATGCGACATTTCACTTCATCATTCGTACTCACCCAAATCATTGCATACAACATGCTATTCCCCGCCTTCATTAAGGGTATATTCCTGGCACCTGTCACAGGAGATATAGTGCAGTGCAAAAATAAAATCGCATGTGTAATAGTTTCCGCAGCGACACACTGCTTGTGTGACGCCTCTCACCAGGAATGTACCCTAAGATACACACCCTTCGCTCTAAAGTGGGAACCCAGTGGAAGGGTTGACCCAAGAGCCCTCAAGTGAGCGTGATACAATGTGGGGGCCGGGGCCTGGGCGGGTGAGCAGAATGTACTTGAGGGGTGGGGAGAAGCCGCCTGATGCCGTGCTTGCTTCTGATGGTGATGGTTGTGGTGGTGGTTGTGCGTGGGGAAGCGCTTCCACGGAGACAAGAGAGGTGTCGCCGGTGAGATAGCTGCACACAGGGAGAGAGTCAGTGAGGGTTGGTGGGACGAGGAGGGGTGTGAGGTGGATGGGCGGGACGAGGGGTGTGAGATGGATGGGACATGGTTCCTGGGATGAATAGACAAGAGGATGGGGATAAACGAGGATGGGGCAAGTGGAGATACACGATCAGGTGAAGAGGGGATAGTTGTAGAGGGTGGTGGTGCCAGGTGGGGGATAGGAAGTCGGAGTGGGGAGTGGTGGTGCACGGAGCGAAGTGGTGATTACGTAGAAATCATAGAGGCGGGGATGGGGTGGGGGGAAGGAATACCTGGAGAGTGGGATGCTGCCGGGTGGGGGAAAGCGTTGCAGGAAGGCGGAGAGGAAGTGCGTGGCGTTGTGGCGCTCCACAAACATGACCGCGTTGGGCCCCGCGTCAAATGTGTACGCTGCCTGCCGTTGGGGAGAGGAGAGGAGCAAAGAGCAGAGCGCGGAATGATGAGATGGGTGCTTCACAGAAACGAAACCACTGGGTCGAGTTTTGAGGCGCCTCAAAAGTCGAGACCAGATTGCTATGCTGCCTGGTGTGGTGGGTGCAGAGGAAGAGTGAGGTGTTGGTTTGCGGGGAGGAGCAGAGACACTAAGTACTTGGCAGAACAAGTGAGCAGCACTTGCCCCCCTTCACTCTGCTGATTCCCTTCACAACGCCCATCCTCAAGCCCCCTGCACCCCTTCTCCACCCACCTGCAACCCCTCTTCAACCCCCTGCAACCCCTCTTCAACCCCCTGCATCCCCTCTCCACCGTCGCCACTTCACTGTTCCCCCTGCACCCCCTGCTGCTCTGCCTGAGCATTGAAGTCCTCCACGAAGCCAATCACACGACGCAACGTGGTGCTGAGATGGAAGGTGGCAAATGCGTGCATGCAATCACCCACTCACCCACTCACGCTTGCATCTTCGCCACACTCACATGTTGCCAGCACTCACCCACCCGCTCACCCTTACCCCTCGACCCCCTCGCACCGTACCAATTGACCCCCCTCCATCCCCCCCTGTGCACCCTTGGCTGCTCTGCCCGTGCGTTGCACTCCTCCACGAAGCCAATCACGCGGCGAGACATGGCGTTGCCAGTCGCGACACTCATCCACTGCGCTCACTCTTACCCTTCGCACAGTACCCATTCACCCCTCTGCACCCGTCTGCATCCCCCCCTGTGCACGCACCCTGGGCTGCTCCCCAGCATTGCACTCCTCCGTTGAAGCCGATCACACGGTGCGACATGGAGTTGAGATAGAGGATTGCAAGTGCACAAATTCAGGTTCTCACCTCATTCACCCTTACCCTTACATCCCCCCTGCACCCTCCTGCACACCCTTGCACGCACCCTCGGCTGCTCTCCCTGTGCGTTGAACTCCTCCACGAAGCCAATCACACAGCCCGGCGTTGCACCCCCCTGCACCCACCCTCCATCACCCTCCACCCCCCTGCACCCAACCTCCATCACCCCCCACCCCCCTGCACCCACCCTTCATCACCCTCCACCCCCCTGCACCCCTCTGCACGCACCCTTGGCTGCTCCCCCTGAGCATTAAACTCCTCCACGAAGCCAATCACGCGGCGCGACGTGGCATTGAGGTAGAAGATGGGCGGCGCCGTGTCGAGGCACGTGGCGTGGAACTGGTTGCTGTCCGCACAGGTCAGCCGTGCAAATGAGGGGAAGTCGCGCGCTGCTATGGCTGCCTCCATTGCTGTGATTCGCTCTGGTACCACATGCTGTAGGGAGGGAGGGAAAGGGAGAGAGGGAAGGGCAAGGGGAAGGAGGCTGGAAGAATGAAGGCGTGGCATGGAATTGGTTGCTGTTGGCACAGGTCAGGCGGGCAAATGAGGGGAAGTCGCGAGCAGCTATGGCTGCCTCCATTGCTGTGATTCGCTCTGGTACCACATGCTGGGTGAGGGGCAAGTGGGGTGGGGAAAGAAGGGGCAGGGAGGCACGTCAAGGGGGGAGGCACGTCAAGGGGGCAAAGGCACGTCAAGGGGGCAAAGGCCCAGAAGTTGCAGGGTGCTATGGCTGCCTGCATTTCCTTAATGAATGAAAGTACGAATGAAGGCAAGGCCAGGCCGTGAAACTGGTTGCTTTCCACGCAGGGCAGGCGGGCAAATGCTGCAAAATCCCAGGCTGCAATGGCTGCCTGCATTGCTGTGCACTCAGCAGCACTCGGACCAAACACGTGCGCCCGTCACGCGGGGGCCCCCCATGGGTTTCTGCTTTCATCCGACCCCCACCCGTGGCCTTCAGTTTACCCCCACCATCCGCCCCGTGGCTGCAGCAGCTTGGAGGTCTGGGCGGACCGTTATATGCCCTCCCCACCCCAACCAAGTTCTTCGTTTGCCCCACCCTTGCTCGTCAACTGCTCCCACCCACCCGTGCTCTTCATTTGCCCCTCACCTCAGCGCGCAGCTGCAGCAGCTTGGAGGTCTGGGCGGACCGTTTCATGCCCTCGCTGCTGCCAATGTCCTTCTCCCTCTCCTCCACCTGTGCATGTGGGGAGATGCAGGAGAGGAGGGGGGAGAGGGGGGGTACAGGAGGGGAGGAGGGGGGTGCGGGAAAAAGGGGCTGCCAGTTGACCCCTCAACTGCAGCAGCTTGGAGGTCTGGGCAGACCGTTTCATGCCCTCGCTGCTGCTGCCAATGTTCCCTCTCCTCCACCTGTGCATGTGGGAACAGGAGGAGGGGGAAGGGGAAAAGGGGGAGGGGGAAGGTCAGGGCAACAGCTGAGCGCAGAGGCAGAGCATCAAAGTACAACAACGTGGAAAGCAAAGCGCAGGAGAGGACCGTAGAGCACATCGGCCCTACCATTCCACCACCATTTTCACCTGCACAGTGGCGCACACTCTCCCTCCCTCTCACCACACCAATAACAGTGACCAGATCGCTCCAGTGGTCTATGGTCCTGTGCCTTGAGAGCACTCTCCGCCTTTTAGAGGCGACTTCGAGCACTTTTTCGAGTCAACTCGCTACATTTTCCGCCTCTCCGCCTCCGAGAACTTTTTTGAGTCGACTTTTCGAGGCGACTCCGAGCACGTTTTCGAGCTCGCTAAATTTTCAAGTCGACTCACAACAGACAGACATGCCCTCCCCGTCACACCCCTTCCCCCCTCCCCCTAGTGTGTGCCCTCCCACTCACCACTGCAATGATGATGACCAGGTCGCTCCAGTGGTCCTCTGCCTTGACTTGCCGCGCCATGCTGTCGCTCCCGTCTTCTATCTGGCGGTGGGAGAGGAGAGGAGACGCACACACACGAGGCATGAGGCATGAGGCATGAGGCATGAGGCATGAGGCATGCGGCATGAGGCATGCGGCATGAGGCATGCGGCATGAGGCACAATGGAATCGAAAGAGATGCTGATTGCCAGGTATTCTACACGTTTTGCACTTCTGAGAACTCGCAAAAGTGAGCCTGGTTTTCAAATGACTGAACACAATGCCAGATCCTCAAACTTAATCCAACACAGTGCAAGATATTGTGAACTATTTCACCACTATGAGCCAACTCTGGTTTGGGAGCGGCCATGGCTGCAGGTGGCGATACGTGTGAAACGGGAATGGAGGAAACGAGGGAGAGGGAGGCAGGGGATGGAATGAGAAAGATTAGGGGGAGCAGCGTAAGGAGGCGGAGTACGTGGTGTGGTGAGGTCAAGCAAACCCGGCACGCTTTCACCCAGAGACAGCTTCACCTCACCTCGCCCTCATCATCCCATCTCCCATGATTGTCTTACCTCGCCCTTGTCCCACGTGACAAATCCGCCGTACAGGCTCCTGCACGCGCTGCCAGATCCCATCCTGGTGGCATTCGGAGGAGGGAGGACGGGGAGGGGGACGGGAGGAATGGGAAGGTGGGAGCAATGGCGTTTACATAAGGTATGGGCCAATCACACAATTTGTGCAATGCATGAGAAACCCAGTTTAGGCACACGTGGGCTGCGATCCCCCATGAGCAGATTTGTTTGCAAGGTGCTTAAAACACACGAGCAGCATTTGCTGTAACGAGGCCTCCTTTCCACCAAGCGGCACTCTAACGAGGCCTATGATTAAAACTGCGTGCCAATGCTTCTCCTGTCAGCCCGTCAATGCTCCTGCCGTACCTGCCATGGCTCCTGCCGTACCTGCCATGGCTCCTGCCGTACCTGGCAACTCATCTGCCGTACCTGGCAACTCATCTGCCGTACCTGGCAACTCATCTGCCGTACCTGGCGATGGCTGAGAGCTCCCCCGGGTATGCCTCCTTCACTCCCATGAGCTCTGCCAGGGCGAACACTGTGACGCATGCATGCATGCACGCACACACAGGCATGCAGGATGGCACATGGGGCACAGCCGCACAGGGCATGGAGCATGGGGCAGGCACAAGGGATGTGAGGGCGGAGCAAAGGAGGACAGCATGGCATGGCAGGACGGGGGTGATCACGGAGCAATACTTTTGCAAGTGGGGTGGGGCGCATCCAGAGAATTGGACACAGCATGCATACATGCAAGCCGAATCTCCTCTTGCCAAACCTCGCTCCCCAATCTCCACTTCACTCTCGAATCCCTCGCCGCGTCTCAAATCCCACTCTTCAAAGTTCAAACGCCAACTTCCCAACTCAATCCCAGCATCCCAATCTCCCGATCCCAAACCCTCCTCCCCAAACCCCAACCCTCAAACAGGTTTCGAAGTTTAAAAGTTCCAACATCCAACCTTTTGCGAACAATCGAAACTGCAACCACATCCTGTCTTCCCTCACTGATAAGTGGCGCTCCAGTCCCTGTACGTATCCCAAACTCCCAACTAAAACCCCGAACCCCGACCCCCAAACCCTACTCCATCAACTTTGTCCCACCCAGCAGCAGCATTGGCGACATCAGGAGGAGTTTAGAAGGGGGGAAGGAAGGGAGGAAGGGAGGAAGAAACAAGAGACTCACCGAGGCATGCAAAGCCAGCAGCAGAGGAGGCGAGGCCAGCAGCGGTGGGGAAGTTGTTAGCCGACACCACGTGCACCCGCAGCTGCTGCCACTGCCCCGCTCCTATCTCCACCTCCTCCTGCTCGCCCCCTCCCTGCCCGCCCTGCTGTGTGGTCCCTGGAGCGGGCAGGCGCCAGTGCGTGGAGGAGGCGCGTGCACGCAGGGCAGCCAGGCAGTTGCTGTAGCGGTGGCTGCTCATCGCCACCTCCTGATGCCGTGGCGAGTGGGTATGGGGGAGTGAGTGGGAAACTGTTGAGTCTTGAGTCGACAAACAGTCTGTCACCTTGTTCTGGGTCGACTCAGAAGCAGTTGCCGTAGCGGTGGCTGCTCATCGCCACCTCCTGATGCCGGGGCGAGTGGGTATGGGGGAGTGTGGGGTATTGTTGAGTTTTTGGTCGACTCAACAGCCACCTGGAACCGGCCAGACTCAATGCAATGCATATTGCACAGGAATGCAATTCAGTGCAAAGGATGCTGCATTGGAGCGCGTGTTGTGGCATGTTGTCAGTGTGCTGCAACGTTCAGATGGATTATCGGGTTCAGGGTTCGCACCCGGTGGTTATCACACTAGCCACATCAGGTGGTTATCACACCAGCCACATCAGGTGGTTACCACACCAGCCACATTGCCAGTTGCGTTATCAGGTATGCTACAGCATCAGCCTACCAGGTACGACCTGTACGGGAACGCACCTTGCCATGAACAGGTACGACCTGTACGGGAACGCACCTTGCCATGAACAGGTACGACCTGCACGGAACGCACCTTGCCATGAACAGGTACGACCTGCACGGAACGCACCTTGCCGTTGAGCCAGAGCCGGTCCGCAGTGAACGACGGGCTGACGGCGACGGTGGTTTCGGCGGCTAGCTGGTCCACGTGGAGCGTCACGCTCACGCTGCCATTAAGCGGCAGCACAAGCGCCTCGTCGCGCTTTCCCCAGTACTTAATCACCGCGATGTTGCTCGGCGCGCGCGCCGTCACTCCCACCACCCACGGCGCCGCCTCGCACGGCGCTTCGGCGGACGACGACATGACGCTGCTGACGCTGACGCTCTCGTTTATGTCACGCGGGCTACACAGTCACAGTTGAGGACTCGCTGTAGTCACTTTTTGCAGCTCACACAGTCACGGTTACTTTGTAAACAAAGAAAAAGGGGAGCCGAAGCCCGCGAATGGAGTTAAGCGTCAGAATGCAATGATAATGCTGCGATAATCCCTAACGATAATAATGAGCCGCTCTGCAACGAAGTATTGGAGACTAATGGAACTTGGCTCGTAGCGACGGTCGGCTCAGATCACTGATCTGTCTGGCTAACGATAACAAGCAGTGGTGGTGTCGATAAAATAATGCGGTGACACGTCAATCCCTCCTACGCAGCCAAGAGCTTAATTCAGAAACAGCGCGAGACGCGACTGAAGGTAGCTCGATCAGCAAAACGAAACTCTGAATTGAAGAGAGATGAATTTCAATTTAGTTCTCATGAAAAAATGCTCGAGAACTCGCTCGCAAGGATCGCGATGCGTGGCACTCGGTGCGACGAGCCTGGCTGATTCTCATCCTCATCCGCGCACTACACACGCGAGAGCTCTCCCGGTCCACATGTTTCAGCGAACAACGCGGTGGGAACCGGCAAGCTAGGCGACAGAAGGAGCAACAACAGCCGCAATAGCTAGCAACGGTTGTCACCGACGAGCGTACCTAGGGAATTCAGCGGCCAGACCAGTCGTGAACTGGAAGAGACGAGAAAATGGGAGAAAAAGCTCTGGCTGGGTTGGGAGCATCAAACATTGCAACGAAGTAAACCGAACGGTTTTTGCGAGAGTAACTCGATTGCGACGAAGAAGCGCGTGCAGTCCAGTCAAATGTGTAGTGTCGGTTGCTGTGTTTCCTTCCTCCCACCGAAGCCAACCGAATCGAGAGAATTTCTCCAGTGGCCAATCGGGTGATTCGTCCTCTCTCGGGGGGCCTCGATTTACTCGAGTGGCCACGAAATTGGGTGATAATTACTCGAGTGGCCACGCCAGGGGATTCCTGCTCGCTTTTTTTTCACCGGCGAATTACCCTACGGGGATTTGTAGCCCCGAAATTCCTTATTCGTGCGAGTGGTATCCCTAGGTAGTGTTCCGTTCTGTTCCACAACTTAAAATTTCGCCAGGCTCACGGACGCGAAAGTGGCCCGCCCACTGTACAAGAAACCGACCAACAGTACATTGACCGGTCAATTTCGGCCAACTGCACGACCAATGAGCGTGCGGTCCATCTAGTTAACATCCAATCAGCGATCGAGCATATGACTTCGCCCGAAACGAACCGAAACAGCAAAACGACCGCGCTCGATTGGTCAGGAGATTGAGTGGTGCATTTGTTGCCACTGCGCGTCTAATCAGGCGCAAGATTTACGGATTGCCGATCATATTTGAACGCGTTCATTAAACACAATTTACTATATGATCTCGCCAATCATATACTAAATAGTCTCGCACAAAAGGTTCGAATGAACGCGCTCAAACTGGTTTGGTATGCCCTTTTCAACTTCCCGCGCTTTATCATTTGATCCATATGCTACAGATTGCTCACACCATTTCCTCTCGTCGTTTTAGGGTTCACATCTACCTTAGCCCTTGATTAGACCAGTTAGGTCCTTAAAGGAGGTTCATCTGGGAGGTCCTACGGTTAGAACGTTCATATTAACCGCAATGAGCTCGACGTCTTATACTTGTAACACAGTCTGACTCAGGCGATGAGGACACAGAGATTTGCTTCGTTGGAACCGGAGAGCCCAAACAAAGTGAAATGTACCGTGCGTTGCTGCGGGAAATGGTCGTCGACGAGGCCCCATCGCCACAAATCGTCATAGACGATCGCGCACCGTTGTGTGTGTTGGGAACAAATAGTTTAAGCGCCTCTTGTCAGAATGTCATATTTGTTATCTAGCCTGCAGTGGGGTACTCTATAGCGAGTATAACCCCTTAGGGTTTCATATTTGTATCTCATTGCTTGCTAGTACAACCCTCTCTTTTGCCTAACTTCTCCTTGCCTAGCTAGGTAAGTCCTAGCTATGGCTACTATCGTTACCTACCTATTTTCACACCTCTGTCGTGTCAGAACTCAAGACACAAGCGAAGCAGCTCAAATCGAAGCATCGCGAGTCAACCCTCGGAAGTTAACGTAACCGCTGGAGGTTACGAGAAAGTCAAAGGTCAGCAACCTTTGACCTGACGCAGCGCGACAGCAAGGACACACAACTGACTCGACATTGAGCAGTTGCGCGAGTCGCACTATATCGAACCGCAACAGTAAAGTAGTCATAATGTCTCTTCATATTCTTTGTACTCATATATTTATTCCTGTATCTCTTTGCTTTAATTAACTTACTTTGCCCTCACATACTAGCGCAAGGTGGTTCAAGGACTTTATTCAACGCTTCCGCTATTACATCACTTACTCAGACTTTAACTCTACAAAGATCCTAGGGCTTTTCAGCCCAACATGGTATGAGAGCGGTTAGAGTTAAAAGTTACTATTTTTCAACACTCAATACATCAAGAAGACATGTCTGCTAGAAAGGAGAGGAGCTCCTCCAACGGCTCTCCCGGTACTACCCCTACTCCACCTCCTGCCTCTGGTCTACAGACAGAGGAAGGGACAACGACGAGACCAGCAGCTGGGTCTACGAAAACACCCGCAAACCAAGGCGCGGGCTTTGATCCAAGCATGATGGAGAAATTCTTCTCCTTCATGTCCTTCTACGAGCAGCACCAGCAAGGAGTACCTGCGCAATCAAACAACAGCAACAACAACAACAACAACGTGACACCCATGAGTCTCGATGGCTCATCCTACGCACGCGGGAATCAACATCAACAACCTACCTTCGCTCCGTACGAGCCCCAACGCGGCTCTGTCAGCTTCATGCCGCAACCACAACCTGCACCGGGACAAGAGAAAGCGCTGGACGCATTACAAGTTCCATCGCAATTCGCACATGTTCTAAAACTACAGACGACAAAGCCTTTTGACGGAAAGGACTTCTTTACCTGGTCGTTCGAATTCGAGCTGATGATGGAAGGAGCGCAGATCCTTGGCTTCTTCGACGGGTCCCTGCCATATCCAACAAACGGCACACAGTATGAGAAGCAGTAGTACACCTATCAATCGATGATGGCGTACACAATACTACTGAGGAACATCACCCCGACCCAACAGCAGAACATAAGGACTTACCGAGGTTACGGTAACTCCGCGGAGCTCGCGTACAACCACTTGAAGAACCTGTATCAAGCAACAGACAGTGTAAACCAAAGTCGGTTAATGGCGCAGCTGACAACAATAGAAATGAAACCAGGCGAGAAGGGCATGGAGTATATCAGTCGCTGCCGCGAACTGTGCGACAGGCTTCTTCGATGTGGGGGATCGATCTCAGAAGACGCCTTTGTCACGGTTGTCATTGGCGGTCTCGGCCCTCACTGGCGCTCCACTCGCGCCATACTACGAGCACACGGGAGAATCTCCGAAGCAGCACTCTGCGCCGAAATCCATGCCGAGCAGCAGGACATGGACCTGCAAGAAGAACGACATAAGAAGAAAACGTCAGTACCAGAGTTCGCATTTCATACCCAGCGATGCTACAACAACAATAACAACAACTGAAGCCACTACCTCCGTTTTGCCACATCTGCAAGACTTCAGGGCATCCTCGTACGCACTGCCCGTATTGTCATCAATCGACAACACCACAGCGACAACTTCGACCTTCGAGCAGCCAAGTCACTTCAACACAAGCTACCCCGACACCTTCAGTCTAAGCTTCAACGACTCCAACAGGACAACCTGCACAAAAAGCAAGAAACATCGTCAACTGCATGGTAAAGATAACAGATTCCTGCACAACCGAGTCACCACCATACTACTCACCAGAAGAGCAACTCGACAACAGCACGCCTCGCCGCGAGTCCCTTCAACCAAACCCGACGTACACCGCCATTGCTCAAAGCGAACCGTCCGGGAAAGATACATGGTTCTTGGACAGTTGCTGCGGACAGCACATGTGCTCTTCGGGACGCTTCGTCCAACGCGAACATCGACTTCAACGAGAGGTCGTCATCACAGTCGCCAACAACCAGAACCTGGGCACACGACGACAAGGAGTAGTACAACTTCAGTCACGAGAGACAAATGTTATACTGCATATGTCAAAGGTACTAATCGCGGAGGGACTCGGCTACAACTTACTGAGCGTCAGCCAGTTGATGGCGAAAGGCATTCACTTGGAAGCCAACAGTACCACCCAGGAGTTCAAATTATACCACGGGAAAGGCGGCCTCTACATCGGGAAGGCGGTCTTGAAGAACAACGTCTTCGTCCTAGACTTCGTCCTAGACCTGGGCACTACAGACAGCGACGCCATCGTGAACTTCGCCGACTGGACACATCCTCCGGATCTTGATCCGGACTTCAGTCCGGAAGGCTTCTGGTACTCGCACACCATTCCTGAAGCAGAAAGAACACGCGCGTTAGCAACAATTCAACATTCGGCAGCAGCAGAAACAACATCGGCAGCAGTAGAAACGTCATCGGCAGCAGCAGAAACATCATCGGCAGCAGCAGAGACAACATCGGCAGCAGCAGCAGGACCAACGACACCACTCCTTGTCAACGAAACACCACCAACACCCGCACAGCAGTTGAAACCAACTCAACGAGAAGTCCACAGAAGCGCAAACTTCGTTGTCAGCTTTTACTCCAACTCAGACGCGTATCGACGCTCACCCGGACACCGCGCCTTGTCAGATGATTATATTACTGATGCATATATTTAGGCTGTAGTGGGGTAGCCCATAGGGGGGACAACCCAATTAGGGTTGGTACTTGTACTTGTTTCATTTCATAGTGCACTCATTCCTCGCCTCTATCTCAACATGGTATCGAGCAGGTTCCCTAGTGGGAACTGTTCCTAGGGCCCACCTACTATTCCGTCCTGCCCGGAGCGCGCTCTGCCCTAGCCCGACTCGCGCTGTGCCTTTTTTTTTTT